AGCCTTGTGAGGAGCACTGCTATGACGTATCAGAAACCACTGTGCTCCCCTGAAGGGCATTATCAGTGCACTTACTGAGTAACAAAATTGAATGAAGAGAGGGGTATATGGTCACAAATGTTCATGTGCAAACAGTCCATTTTTACTATTTACATAATTACCATGTTCTCTTTAAGTCCTCTCTTATCCATGAAGTTTCAAAGGGTTTGTGGTCTGGCGCACACAGATTTGTCCTATTTTCATGTTTAGGTGGCCTACAAAATTTTTAAGGATTGTACAGAGCATCTCTTAATGTGACCTGATACTGATATCACCAGCATAACAGCCGTTACAAGGGAAGAATGACTTTTAAGATGTATTCATCTGATCAGAGTCCAGTAATTTCTGTTCTGGATCCAAAGCCTGAGCCACTTGCTGTTGCTGCTTGGTTTATGATTGTCGCCTCCTAACATTTCCCCACCTCAAGCTGGTGCTTCTTTCAAGATCTTGCTCTTGAGAAGACAAATGAATTCAAAGTCTTCCTTCACAATTATCAATCATTTGGCAAGGTACCCTAGAGAAGTCAAAGAGCCTTCTATGTAATGACTCTAAAACTGCCTCATTTGTGAAGTGCCGATGGACACATGAAGAGAGCAGCTCTGCATTGTGACATCATGCGAAAATACATGAACAACAAGAAGCACTAATGTTGCTGTCTTAGGGAAAGGTTTTTCTGGCTGGTTTGTCTCAAAGTTGAAACCTTTACATAGAGATGGAACAGAGGAAAACTGCAACAAGCACAAGTGGTTCCATGGCCTGGTACGGAGGAGCTGATAGCTTGGCACATACTGAACTTCTTTAAAGTTCCTTCCATCAAAACCAGACCCAAAAGGCAGGAAAAGGCAGGCATTTATTCCCACTTGTTGTCTAGAGCTAAGAATTTAGCAAAATGCAAGTGATGAGGAGGTTCTGATTATATGACATTCATGTCATGTTGTGCCATATCCCTTCTGATACCTTACAAACATTCCTCCTTCTGCAAACCTTACTCAAGTCCAAATCTGTTTTACATTACGCTCCAGATGACAGGTGCAAATCACTGAGATCACTTGGATAACATGAGCCACCTTTGACTTGACGCACAGAGGCTTTGCCCACAGAATACTCGGGTCAAAATGTAACAGCCTACTGTGAGTCCTCCAGAAACAATAATAATAAAAAAGTACATAGCTGCACAGGAAGTTTCAAAACCCCTATTTAGTAATTTTGGTGTTCTGCAAACTAGAGCATACTTTGGGAAAAGTCACAAGGATTGGACATCTTATTGCAAAGCAAGAATGAGACCGATTTCTATTAGATAACGTATCTTCAAATACCTCAATTTTTACGATACACTTTGTGGCTACTTATAAAAACTAATAGAAATGTTTGTAAGGAGCCTTTTGGTTCAATTTCTTTTCCACACAAAGCAAGCTGAACTTGGATGGAAACATCAGCTATGTATTCTCAACCTCTTTTTAAAGCATCCTTTTGGTTTGCATTTGCTTTAGAAGTAACAGAGAAGGCCTCTCCAAAGACAGACCTATTCTTCTAACCAGTGTATTGCTGAGTAGAAACAGAGAAGTTCCAACTGAATGATGAAAACAGAGTTTTACTGTATTTAAAATGATCCTCTCACTTCACCTCATTCCCGGTACAGCTCACAGCTGAAGACTTCCAGCAAAAACAAACAAGGATGGAGATCCCAAGAAGTACAAACCACCTGGTTGGCAGTGAAGCCTATCAAGAGCGAGATGCAGCTCCCAAAATAACCTTGTGAAATGCCTTGGTGAGACTCCTTCAGCAGAATTTAAGTCACAGTATATAAGGAGCCAGACCTTGGAAAGTCTGCCTACTTCATTGCTGTGGTTGCTGACAGAGGTGAGAAAAGAAGCTTGCATCAATTCCAGGAGATGCAGGAGACCCAAGATGTGGGGCAGCACACATCCCCTGGGCTGTTCCACACCACCACCTTCTCTTACAGATTTTGCTTTCTGTGAAAGACACTGCTTACTCCCAGTGGTTTTGGCTGGAAAGCAGAAGACTTCATAGCTTGCTTTGACAATGAAGAGATACGGTGCCTCCAGATTTTGTCACTCCATCCTCCCTCCCAAGAAGAAGATCATTGTTTCTTCAGGTGAAAATTGAGGGAATATTACAGTGAAACAGGCACAATGAAAACTAGCTTTATAGTCAAATCCAAAGCTACTGTTAGGCTATTTTTAATGAGATCTGAAAACCTTTCTCAATAAAATTGTTACATTTCCAGCTCAAAATGAGAGCAAAACATCTGCAGAGACAGGGCCCCTGGGCACATGCTGGAACTGCTGGTGATTCGGGTTCTCACTGCTGTTTTCCAACACTTCCAGCCATACAGCAGGCAGGTTGTTCACAGTGCATTTGGAAAAAGCACTGGCTGTTATTTGCCCTTTTCCTGAGGCTGCAGTGCCAGCCTCTACACACCCCAGATGAACACGATTTTCAATTGCTCATTAGGTGTAGACTTGTAACCATTTTTTTTCCTCTGGTGTCTTATTTAAAATCCTCAGGAGATACTTCAAATATTTCCTTAAAATAATTTCTGGAAGAGAAAGACTCCATTCAAAGAAATGAGACTTAGCATGTCTGCAAATAGTAACAATGCATGGAATGTGCTTTGCTTTACCTTTCTGGATGGATTTGCTCAGACTGTGTCAAGTAATCCACATATATTGCTGGCTCCCTTCTATTAGCAAGCATTACCTAGTGAACAGGGCATCAGAAGGCCATTTTTCCTTTCAGCATGGATGACTGTCTGGCTAGGCTATATGTGTGAGCGTTAACTGCGGAGTGTTAACAGCAGCCAGACAAGGTTGCCTCAGCTGACTAAAGGAAAGGGTCTGGGAGAGGCAGGCAGGGAGCAGAGATGGCAAATGTGCCACTGCAGTAATTTCCTCGCCAGGCTTCATGTGTGAACCAGCTGATTTTTGTTGACATATGAGCCCTGCAGACAATTCCATCGTTTCTAGAGCTGACGTGCTCTTAAATCAGGCTCAGCACTTACGCGGTGCTTTTACCTGTATAATTGATAACATTAGAATTTGTACTCTTTTTGAGGAATTAGCTGTTATAAAGTATCCAAGAAAACTTATTTCCATAGCAAAAGTGTATACTGTACATGCTGTTCAGCTCATAAAGTGGGAAAAACTGATGAAGATACGTCAATGTGGACTTTTCTTCTGAGGATCAGTATGCCATGAACATTTTCTTACAGTGAAAATGTGTATAGAAAGTAACTGTTTCATGGTAACAGTAATGTAAATTATTTACTATTATGACATTTATGATTCCTTTAGCATCATATTCCTTATCTACAAGTACATAACTTCTTTAAGTGCCTCCAGAATTTCAGACAGATGGGAACTGTGTTCAGCTTCAACAGCAAAAAGGAGTTGAAGAAATGCTCTTCCAGAACTGCACTATTTCTGAAGTCATTGACCTGTTGAGATGTTTGATTTGCTGAGAGCACAACATGCAGTGTAAGGTCTACTTATCCCTTCAATTTTCTGGAAACATTGATTCAAATATTCCATTCCTCTCCAAAATCTCCAGACTATTTATGTGATTGCACACTCAAGTCCACCACCAAGTAACAGTTATCAGCTGCTTCTAATAACCTCACAATGTTGCTGCCCACCTCCATAGACACTCTCTTCTAGAGGCATTAGTACACAGCTTCTCTCACTTCAGTCTAGAGGCAGGTAAGTTTCTGAAGCTGACACCACTATTAGACTTCTACACCTGAACAGACAGAATCCAACCAGGCCTAAAATGATGAAAAATATCTGAGATTCCATTCTTCCTATTTTATCCAGCCCAGAAGATTCAACAAGTTATGTTGCCTCATATCCAGGGACAGATAGCCCTCAATGCTGCATGCTAAATTGAAAAGATTCCTTGAGCCAGGTATAGCACTGGGACAGAGCTTCTATTCCCATCAGTTTTCTGAAAATACACAATATACAAACATCGCTCTGACCTGAACTCTGATCCTTTATACAGGACTCCATCCGTACCTGCAACACAGGCTAAACCACTTGCTTCTGAATATGTAGAACACACCTTAACACCAACACAGACCCTGATATTAGAAGTCCTAACACAGTATTATCTCCACAAAACAGGAAAATAATGTGAATTTATGGGATGTGGATATCCACAGAAATAGGGGATGCAGTATGCAACGCTCTACCTGGTAGATCCTACACAGGATCTACTATGACATCTATACTGCATACAAGCAGTTACACGAACTCCTGGAGGAAACAGAGCTTCAAAAAGTAACTTGCATAGTTTGATAGGACAGTCTTGACCTTTGAATGAATACAGCCCAGTGTATATGTTTGTCAGAGTAGTGTCTGTCTCATCCCTGACAATGCAATGGCAGACAATGGAGAGCTTCTCATTCATTCGGGGAATTGTCCACATATTCAGCAACAGTTAACTTGCTAACTTCCCAATGTGATAAGGTGCTCAAGGAAGGTTATAAGTACTAAAAGTTTTCAGAGTGAATCACTTAAGGAGGGCAAAGAACGTATCATGGAAGAGCAGAAGAAGCCTCAAAAATTCTACCCTTTCTCCATCTCTCTCCTTTCTGTCCCCTTTCTCTCCTCTTTTTCCCCATACTCTGGTGAGAAGATAAGCTGGAAAATGCACTGTGGCGGCTGTGCCTGCTCACCAAATACTGATCAGTAGCACTATTTAATGGCAAAGTATTTTTCTAGCCACCACATCTCTCTCCACACCCCCAGAATAGTTATCCAGTGTATGTTATACTCCAGTGGGTGCTGCATTGGTTAAACAAAAATTATATGCAGCCATCCCAGTTTATTACTGGTTCAGGAAAGAGGATCGCCTCTTAAATGGACATTCAGAGAACTGAAGTCATGCTAATATTCTTACAGACTGTGTCCAGCTTCTATCATAATTAACCATCCTGCTCCTTCTATTGTCTTCTTTCCCAGTGCTGTCATCTCCCTTTATTTAAGGACTCTACTTCAGGACTTGAGAGACCCCAGAGAAGAAACTGAGGCAACCTAGGATGTAAGAAATTACATACTTCGTATTGACTAAGCCTGTGATACCAAAAGGCATTCAAGGGAATGCACACTTCTCTCATCTCTTTCCAACAATAGACAGTTGTTTTGAAAAGAGCTCTGTCAGGTCATCATTGCAGGGAGACAACTTCCCCAAGCAGAATCTTGGTATTGAACTTTTTCATTAACACACACTTGTAGTCTAAATTTATTTAGATTGGTGCTTTCTTAACTAGAGGCCACTTGGCTTTCTATTCTTTCCTTATTCACCTTCACTCCTTTCTCAGGAGTCTTAGAGGACTTTAAGTCTTTTACATTCTCTTAATTCCCCTCTTTTTCTCATTTACCATGTTTCTATAAACTTAAATTTTGCTGAAGCAAATTTAAGTCCCTTACTGAATATGCCCAAGTTTCACTGAGTGAATACTGCCACAATGAAAGGCATCATTTTTTTTCAAAGTCAAAAAGCAAGACAGTTCGGATAGAAAGTCAATGTGGTGACCTCAAATTTGTGTCAGATGCAAAGTTAGACAAACTTGCACTAAACAGATCTGCAGCACTGAGAGTTTAAATACTCTGTAGTTCAATGTAACAAAAACTTGATGGTTTCCATGGATCTGGGAGTGTGGATTCCATTCAGATGTTAATATGCATGTTATGTATAAAAAGTCACTGGGTAGGCTGAGATGCTTTGACCATGCAGGTATCTCCTTAGTCTCCTTAGGGTAAATTTAACTCACCCTTGTCCTACAGCATGGATAAAAATCAAAGCGAATAGCCACTCCTTTGGTAAGAAATACTGAAGCAGTAAAACTTTCAAGAGCCTCTTTGAAGCTCTGGATTTTGATTATTTGAACTCATATGACTTAATGATGACAGCTTTTATAACAAAAGATATTCTTGATACTGTGTTATTTTTTCTTTTACAGCATAACAGATCACATAACTATTCCAGGGTTTCAAAATATAAGCAAGTGGCTACTTACGGGATTAAACAGATATAAGGGATGTGTATATTCATGTCCATTCAGTCTCTCTTTCCAAGACCCACACAGTCTGTTACTAACAAAGGTTTTCCATTCAAACCTACAAAATTTTGGCAAGTACTTATTACTGTGTTGTCCATTAACACTTTGGGTTTTGATGTATTCTTGTTGCTTTACTATAAAGATTATTAGTTTTATTTCGCTTCTGTCTCCTTAAAAACTTCAACACAAATACTTTTGCAACCTCTCCTGCACACCCACTGTTGCTGGTCTGATAGCCCTTCTGAAGCTTATGAAGCAGTTAAATGTTTTTTTAAGTGATCCAGCCTTTTCTGTCACTAATAATTACATACTCAGATGTGTTGAAGTCCTAGTAAGTAGTTGTTTATTTTATCTGATCATGCAAAACCATCAGTTTCTGACCATGCTAGCACAGGCATAACTAGTGAAGAAATTAAGTATGTGACTAGAAAAATACAGGTTTATGTCTCTTTTTTAAATAGAAAAAAACAGAGAAGGAATAGAAAAGAGCCACAAAAATGATTTGAGAATGTGAAAAAAAATAATGAAAACTATAAAAAGCTCAATCTGTTTATCTTAAAAAGAGGGGGGAAGAGGGAGATTGAGAAGTAACATGATTACAGGATAAAAGCACCTTCCTGGGGAGAAAATAGTGAGTACTAAAGAGCTCTTTAATCCATCAGAGAAAGGCATAACAAGAATCAATGACTGGAAGCTGAAGGCAAACAAATGCAAATGAAAATAAGGCAGAAAATGTTTAGCAGCAGGTATGATTACTACTTGTATTATCCTAGTACCTGGAAGCCAAGTCAAGGATCAGAGCTCCCTCACACTAGGTGCTCGGGGGAAAAATAAACACAACAATGCAACCCAAAAAAACCCAAACCAACAACCCCACCCTAAACCAACAAATAGCAACCAGAAAAGGAAAACAATCCCTGCAAAAGGTTAGAAACAATACATAAGATGAAGTGACATAATAAATCCAAGTATAATATTATCTGATATGACAGGCAGTAGTTTCAGGCCATGGTTTCATGATACAAAATGTTGAGTTAAGATACCAGCTTAAGGTGATTCTGCCCTACGCAGGCTGATTCCTCCTGCTTCTACAATTTCTCTGCAGCTGTGAAACTCTGATCCTCATTTTAAGAAAGGGTTAAAAGGAGGGTTTTCATTTTTTCTTTACATCAGAACACCAGTGGAACTGATGTACTTTTGCAAATGTTTTGACTTCTATGAATTTCAGTGAATGGCTCGACCAAAATCTTCCTAACTACCCATATATCTCAGTATCATCTCCAGTGCTGTTCACAGGACATCTGAATTTGCTGTGTTAATTGTGGGAAAAGACTGCATGACCCAGATTAAAAAAAAAGTATGCAAAAACAAAGCATGAGGTTTCTTTACTTTCTCCATAACAAATTGCTAGCCCAGTCATCAAATCTCAAGTGCCATCCATGGATAAAGTAGAACACTAACAAAAACTGAAACCTAGCCCATGGTCTGGCAAGATTTCTCTGGAAAGAAAAACAAAATACCAAACTATCACCCTAATCAAGTCTAAAGATACAGAGATGAGCTTGTGATTCCCAGCACCACTGCTCTGGCTCTGGTGTCTACACACCATCCTTGGTAGCTTACAAACACAACAGGTCACTACAGTTTGACTGGGAAGAAAATTTAAAGGGGTAAGCCAAGAGTGGTATTTTCTACTTGAAAAGTTTTTGCTACCTATTTTTCAGACAAAGGATCACATGGGTTGCCCCTGAAATTCATCTGGAAGAAAATGGGGTGTCTTGAAGAGTGCTTCCTCTTATATTCCAACAGAAAAATAGAGGAGAAAACACCACCTTTGATTTCCATTTCTTTGTTTACAGTAAGAGCAGACTACAGCAACACACCACACTCCCCCCAACATCTATTGCACTGAGAAACTCCAGAGGAGCTAATTTCTTGGGCTGGGAGTGCTGAAGAGAAAAAAAAAAACTAGGGCAAGCTCTCCCCAAACAGTCCCCAAGACTCGAAATCATACTGGGTACAGCCATGGCATTTACTACCCAGCCTTCTTCCTTCCCTTCCTTCCAGAGCCAGCCTCCTCCTACCGGCTGATGCTCTGTACTTCACTAAGCCGAATATTCACATTCCCATACTAGACAGGTAAATGGTTATAACCAGTTCTAAAAACATTAATTTTTCTTGCTCCTTGTTAAAAATACTTCAATCTCTGGCTATAATAAGCTACACTAGAAAAATTCTATTTCATTACAAAGTTTAAACACTTTATAGCCTTAGTATTTGCCCTCATAGTCTGCTGAATTGTTCCACATGACTGTGGCTGCCGTGTGTGCGCCGGACACACACTGCTCAGGAAATGAATCAGGGTTGTGCATCGAATTAGATTATTTATAGGCTGGTATATGTGTTTGCTCCAGAAGTTGTGCAGAGAACAAGACACACAACTACAGGAAGAGAGCGATGGGCATATGGTTAAGGCAGCTGAATGCCACATAGCAACACTCAGTTCTGCCTCTGTGTTTGCCATCAGCTCCTGTGCAGAAGCAGCAAGTCAGACCAAGCACCCTGGCAGATGGCCACCAACCTTGGCTTCCTCATTTACTGGGAGTCCAAACTGAAACACCTTGGCCCCTTTACGTAGAAATGCAAAGCAGCTGATCAGAATGGAAGCTTTGGCTTTTGAGGGAGAATGGAGCTGGAGGCTCAAGGTTAAAAGGCAGGAGAACCCAATCAGTATCATCAACTTTACTACTGACTGAAGAAGTGGATTGGTTTTCTCCGTGGTCAAACAGGACAATGGTGCTTTTCTGTTGTTCTGGAAATACGCAAAAAGCCCCATCAAATACTGTGAAGCTCTTAAGATATCACTGTAATAAGCCTTCAAAAAAAAAAAAATAAGGTATTTCTGATTCTTTATATACAGAGAAAGTTTTGGATCTTTTAATCTCTTAATTATTCTATATTGCTGCATACTTGCTTTAAAAAGTCCATACAATATAAACACTAATATGCACAGGGATGCAGCATTTCCATTTTCTCCCCTCAAACTCTTTAATGTCATTTTGAAAAGTGCTTTCCAGCTTCTATCAGACCTATTTAACTTTAGTACTCAGTGTAACTGCAACATGGTCATATGGAACAGGACAGGGAACAGTGCAAACAAAAGATATTCTCTGGTTCACAAAATACAAGATGTCCTCACTCTCAACTGTATAGTATGTCATGTAACCACAGCCACAGAAACAGAAAAACAACAGGAGAGCTGGTAAAAGTTACTGCCTTTTCCTACTTATTTTATTGGTCTACATCACAGGATATCATCATACTGAAAGCTTTCAGCAGTAGTAGGCTACTAAGAAAACAGCACATTGCAAAATAAAATAAAGTAGATCTTATTTGTGTTCAGCAAATAAAACCAAGTCTACTAACACCTTTACAAGTGACCTGAATAGAGTTCCAACAGTTACTCTGACTTCCACATCTGAGTTAAGAGAAATACCACAATGACTGAAAACACAGGTGATGATCTCCATTTTTGGTAGGAAGCCACTGAATGTAAAAATGTAACACAATAGTCACAGCAATCATGAGGTTTTGGTACATGACACAACAGAAATACTTTAACAATCTGTGACAACATCCCAAGCACATGGTGTCTGAATGCTATTAAAGTAGGTGTGCAGGAGACTCAAAGACAATACCATTTTGTAGGATAATTTTCATGTATTAGAAGCCAATAGAGGAATAAAATAGAAATTTAGGTGGAGGCCTACAATCAGATCTTCAGAGTAGAAACCTGCAGTTATCCAGAGTCCCACCAACTCAGTCAGGCCCCTTGGCTATCGAGGTCCATTTGAACAAATCCAGCGGCAGGGCCTAAATATGTAAACAGAAAAAGGATGAAATCAGGTAACACAGCGCACAGCTCTAATTAAAGAGACACCAAACAAGTCTCAGAAAAAATAATCTGTTTAGATCATTACAAGATTTATGTTTTTACAACAAAACACTGCAGCTACCGCAAAGTCTGTAGCGATACCTTTATACAGCATTAACTGATCACACCATATTCCCCTTCAGGCAAACATGAGAACCTGCAATGTGTTTGCTCACCTCTTGCATGCTGCTGCTTTTCTTGATATTTATATATATTTTGGTTTATTATTTAAATAAAAGAGTCTAAAATCAATTAAGGTGACATTTTTATCTTCATCAACTCTTCATTTCTACAGGCGTAGATTTTTATCCTCTTAGTAACATGGTGGCAAAAATTAAAATTAGATAATCATACCATATTTTAAAACACTAAAACTGACAGAAAGTAGTATTATTTCTATAAAAACATGCACTGTTATGCCTATCTGAAAGCTTTGAGTAGTTCTAGCCTGGCACTGTGTTAAGTGAAGTAGCTTTTTATGCTGGTGTTTCTTCCTAACATACTGATAAGACCCTGTGGTAGCCCACACTAGTATCATATACAATTGCCAATAAGAAAATACACTGTCGCAAAAACCTGTCTACTTTATAAGGAGGTTTGCCCACTGAAATGTGCAACAGCAGTGAAGACACTACAGGAGTATCAGGTTTATGGTCAAAAAAGACGCAGAACCACAGGCTACACTGTGGAGTATTGTCATCCAAACTTTAGCAGCAGCATCTCTCATCCACCCCAGAAAGACAAATTAAAATAAACACACTTTCTGTTAACAAAAAAAATGTTCAGGAGAATCAACTCTCTCTGATTACTTTCATACTTCCTGTTTGATAGCTTAAGATGCAGCAAGACCCTTTACATAAAATAAATCAGTAAGTTTAAAAAATATTCCAAGATACATGAGGACACAAACATCTGAAATTCATTGAAAGAGATGTTGATTTGCCTACAGTGCTGATGGAGAGGTAAGGACTCAAACTGCTATTATTGCTAGGTGGGGAAAAATACTATATACAAAGTTTTCTGTTCACTATGCATTAAATTACGGGCATTAAGATGCCCTTTTTGCTGAGATGAGATGCTAACTTTACTTAGACTGCTTATCTATGAGGCAACTCATAAAAATGCAAGGCAGAGGTGACCTCCAAAATTTGTGTGAGAAGGTAATGTTTGTCTTCTTAATGCTGGAGTTAGCTCAGGATAGGTATCAAAATCTTGATTTCCGTTTGAATGTTGAATTCCCACTTGTACACCACATGCATGTCAGAAATCAGTACATGGTAAAGAACCTGCAACACCACACTTAGAATATAGTGTCATATTTTGATTATTTTATCTCAAGAGAGTTACAGCCTAAAACCTGGCTGTCACTCAGTTACATATATGTGGACAGGCAATTTTTAATTTCTCTTCCCTGAGCATGCTACATACTTTTTGTAATACTTTAATCTGGACACCTAACTACTAGACAGCACAGACAGCCTTTCTTCTTGCTCTTGCAAAAATGCATTAACAGTTTACATTTCAACAGCTGGTAGTAATGTATCTATTGTAAAAAATAACAAGAAAGAAAATAAAAAGGTGAGGTGGTGGGTTTTTTTTGCTTTGGGTTATGCCTCCCTGACACTAAAGTTGCCTCATCTCTGGTTTAAGTGAGAAAAACCTAGAAACAATTCTAATTCACTCCTCTTTGCTACCATGCCCATACAACTATGCACCAGTGGAAAAGTAGCCAAGAGCAGATGCTATTTCCTCTGCCCTTTCCCCAGTCCCCCTTCTCAGCCTGAGTTGTGGGACATGTTGAAGGGGAAGGAAAGGATGACTGTGGCTGAGTACGAGACCTGGCTACAAATGCCTTAAGCAAACTGAAGGCTTCCTCCTCCTACGGAGAATTCTTACATCATAGGGAAGGATCAGAATAAGGAACTGAATCAATTAATTGTATTATTGAAGTACTCTGGAGTATAGTTATTAGAAGACTTCATAATTTAATTGTAAAGAAATTACTGAACTCTATTGATTATTACTGTAAACCAATTCATTATTACTGTAAACCAACTAAAAAGATCAGCAAATGCAAAACACAACTTTTCATGCTAGACACCCCACTGCAACATTACAAATCAAACCCAACAATTAATGTCCAGTCTTTGGTGGCAGGTGGGGAAATATTCTAAGCAATATTACCTGGGAAGCAATCATAGGAGTGAAGAACTCCAAACAGTAAACAATACAGTTATATTTGAGAACAGATCTTTAAGGTTTCCATCAGGTTATCATCATCATCATTATGTTTTCTTCTCTGCTTTTGATAAACACAACCTAATCTCACACTCATTCAGAAAACTGCTGCAAAGACCCTTTTCCTACTTGATCACTTGGAGAACACATTACTGTCTCCAAAGCTCTCCCTGACTTCTCCTGTAATACACTACTTGTCTTCACTTTCAAGGCCCTTCCTCACTTACCAGCACCACAACTATTGTTCCTCAACTGTGTCAGGAAGACAGCTGTGGTTTGCTAGCATTTGAAGCTGGGCCAACTTTTAGGAAACGTAAAGCTGAAAAGTTCGTTAGATCACACTGTCTGATCTGTTTTTTACTTTATGTTTGGCCAAAACACTTTCAAAACCCCTCACTTTTTACTGAAGAAAAAAAAAAAAGGTTTGAATTCTTGTCTCTCTGCCCTTCCTGTCTCCTACCTGTCATTCAGTGTCAGCAGTCCAGCTTCTAGCTCCTCTCTCATCCATGTTACATTTTCAAACAAACCTCTTGAGCCTTTTTCTGTTTTACACCTTACATTTTAGGGAAACTTCCTTAAATATTTGAAAACACACTTCACTACTGTCCTTCAAAGCTTTCTTTGAAACTAAGCTTACTAAAATGCCCCTACAACCCCCATGAGCAAATAAGATGTATACTCACCACCTATTTTAAAGTGTGTAAAGTAGGCAAGTGTGGGGTGGAGAAGGATCCTCCTACACAGCAAATAGAGACATTTCTGTTGAGAGGGATTTTGTTCACTCCTGAAATATTCCAAACTGTCCTTTGAAAGAGTCTCTGGATAAGCTGTGGAAATGATCTATCAGTCTTTTGATTTAGGTCTCCGAGTTGGATGCTTGAAGTATGAATACTCCCCCTCAATTCCTAGTACTTCCCTGCTCATCTATGTATATTTCCTCTTTTCAACAGGACTATATTTACACTGTAAGTATTTAGGACTGCATATAATCTTTTCAGCCCATGTTTGAGTGGTGCCTAGAAGCACAGGAACTTCAATGCCCAAGTAACACAGTAATACAAAACCAGTCTTACAATGCTCTGCTGTATTTTATTAAACAGTACCTGATATGTAATTATCATAGAACTATGCACACATGCCAAGTAGAAGATGCACAGCTATGCATCAACTTTAACTTTGTTATTTTCTAAGTTCCTGAATCCTATAACAAAGTGCTGGAACGTGTTCATGGCTGGCACCAGTTGTTTTTTTTTCCCCAGTCTGAATGATGGGCAAATCCTCAAGACAATTCAATACAGTGAAAGAGACGGGAGAGTAAGACTGATGGGAAGGTATATGTAGATCCAGGACACATACAGACCTTCTGGCAGAGAAAGCAGGGTAAGGGAAACAAAAACCATAGAAATCCTTGTCATGTGTGACACATGTCATTAGTTTTTTTCTGAAGTCATCCATGAGACAATAGTAAAATATAGGACTGGTAAGGTATGAAATATAAGGAACCCCTTACTATATGCTAAGAGTTCATGCCCCACAACACACACTTCTCACTGTTAAATTTATTGAACTTTAAATACACCCTATTAAAAAGATTTTAGTAACATGAAGAATATTCCTAAAGACCAAAATAAGGAAGTAAAGCCCCCAGCCATATCTTACATGCTAAGAAAATCTCTGAGTCTCCAGAAACATGATTATTGCTGGGGAAAAAAAGAGAATAAAACATTATGAAGGAACAATGAGCTTCAAGAAGTTACTTGAATCAAATAGGAGTCTCTCACAAATTTGAAAATAGCGCAAACAATAAGCAAAAGTCATACTAGGCATCATGTACAAAAGAAACGGAACAGAACAACTACTACTGCTGCTGGTCTAATTCTTGCTCCAGATCTATTCATCCAGGTAACAGAAGTTTTCAAAGCCAAAAGAGAAGATTTCCTCCTGAAGCAAGCAAACAAAAAACCTAAGACATAGACAGGCAGAGATCAAAACCTGATGAGAATAAAAAAAGCAAAATATTGGATTAATTGATCTATTTCATCATAATAAATTCAATCAATGGCAAAGAGTTAAATGCAAAGTGTCTCAAAAGAATGGATCCGGTTCTATGTTACGGTACAGTTGTTAATCATCCAGACATGGGGGTGAGGACTACGGCATAAAATCTGCAGTCATTTAGGTTACTATGAATCAGGGAAAAGTGCTATTAATAAGTGGACCCCAAAAATGCCAAATCAAGTTTAAATCATTATAGTTCTGTCCAAATGGCTAGCCAGGATAACTTATGTGCACAACAGAAAACAAGGGCCCCAGCTATTAAGTCCTCACTCCATTTCAGTTGTCCTTAACTATCAATAAAAACCTGTTTTTTGAGCAGATCTTTTAGGATATCCTTCAGGAATCAGCTGTGATAGTCCTTTGCCTCAGGATCTTGCTTACCTTGCCTCCCATAAATCTTAGGTCATATTGCTGCCCACTGTCTGTTTTTCCTAGTTTGAAATATAGGTCTTACATGTCTGCCTGCAGTTTCTTCTCATTTGGCTAACTGGAAAAACAACAGTGTGTGTAATACACTACAACCCTTGCCATCCTCCTGCTCTTAGGACGCAAGGTCTTTCTCTGCCATGTCCTCTGTGCTGTGGTACACAGATACTGCTGGAAATGGTGTTCTGGAAACAGCGTCCTTTCTTCATTATCAGTA